GCCTCCCCGGGCTCCCCCTCCCCTCCTTCCCCATCGCCTCCCCAGCACAGGCAAGGGACACCAAGGAGGAGAAGGGACACTGCCAGCCTCCCACTGGCCCTGGCACTAAGGGGGGAAGCCGGAGAGCTGGTGAGACAAGGGAAGGTCAAAGCCAAGAGGTTTGTGCCTGTCCTTACTGCTTCAAGCTGTGCCGGCAGGGCTGCCTAACCCCCTCCCGAGCGCTCCCCTACCTCTTGAGCTGTAGGGGAATCAGTGCCGAATTCGAGCTGGTGCTAGAGAACAGCCAAGCCTGCAGCTCTCACGCTATGACCCTGCAATGCAGAGGGATCTGCCTGAGATCTCCTGGCCAAGCAACCCCCAACCCCGGGCACCCTGTCTCCCCAGCCCCGGGCACCCTGTCTCCTCTCAGCCCTCCAAGGGCGCCCCTACATTTTGCCTCATCCCCGGCATTTCTAGCAGACCTTGTCCCAGCAGGCAGCTGGCAGGAGTGGCATTGCCCAGGGACTAGCGGGTGCGTGGGTACCACCAGGCAAAGGAGAGCAGCAGGGCATGGGGAGGTGGTGGCTCTGGGGCTGCTGAACTGGGACCAGTTACCTGCTGGAAAGTTCGCATCAGGGGGTGAGGCCTCAGCCGTGGCTCTGCATCGTCTGGGAGCAAAGAGAAGCAGCCTTGCATCACCCCCAAAAATTAAGACAGGGCTGATGCACAGACAGTTGCAAATCTCCCTCCCATGCAAAGTTGTCCTGGCCACATGGCTCTGTGCTTGGCACAAGTCACAGGGGTGCCCCGGCCAGGGGGGGACCTTGCTTGCATGCATGGTGGTGGCGTGCGTGGGGTTTGGCGTCCAGGGACAGAGTGTCCTTTGTGTGGCCCGTGCCCCCCTGCCCGCATTCCCAGCTGGGCCGCGGGACGATGGCTCTCCGGCCACCAGCACCTGCTCCCACGCTGCGTCTGCTGTTACACTGGCCCCTCGCATTTGTCATCGGGTCCCAGCTGTCACCCGCCCCCAGGCTCCAGCTCACACAACCCATCAGCTCTGTGGCGCAGTGTCACACTGACCCCCGGGCGGGTTTGGGACCAAATCCCTCAGGGTTGCCCTGTGCAAACCCCTCATGGGCCCCAGCGGCAGAGCCCACCTCACCCTGGGTCTCCGCCAGCTGCCGGTTGCGGGAGTTTTGCTGGATCAGGCGCTTCATCTCCTCCAGCTCCGCATGCTCCCGCATGTGGTGCCGCTTCAGGTTCTCCACGTGTTGGACCATCACCTCCACCGCTCGGCTCATCCGGGCTTCCTGTGGCCGAGCAGGATGAGGGATCAGGTCCCCCATCTCCCGGTCCCTAAGGACCCAGGTCCCTGCCACTCCCTCACCATACATCCCACAGTGTCTCCGCCCATGGGGTGCAAATGCATCCCCTTCCTCTTCCCAAGGGCAGGCAGATCCCTTGCAGCCCAGTAAATGCAAACATGAGGCCAATGCCAGCACCACAAGGAGGACAGACAAACCTCAGCAAGCCCAGGGATGGGTCCCCCAGCCCAGGCACAGCACCCTCCATCCCTTCTGGCCCCGGCAGGGAGCCCCAAGCAATGCACAGACCTGATGTACAGCCCCCAGCTTCTCCGCAGCACTGGTTGCCCGCTCGACGGCGGCCGCCAGCACAGCCAGGCTGCACTGCAGCTGCTCCAGCGTCCCCCTGCAGCCCGCG